TACAGCAATTAAAGAGCTAGCTTTCAAAATGTACTACTTTTTAAAAAAATCTGCCACAGGCTGTTCATGACAACCAGATCCTGATTGTGATTGGAGAGACAGGGTCCGGTAAGACCACGCAGATCACTCAGTACCTGGCGGAGGCCGGCTACACCACCCGGGGGAAGATCGGCTGCACACAGCCCCGCCGTGTGGCCGCCATGTCCGTGGCCAAGAGGGTCTCTGAGGAGTACGGCTGCCGTCTAGGCCAAGAGGTCAGTGATGTTCTAAAAAGGGCAGTTTAATTAAATATATTTCATCCTTTCACCTGACTAGTACTATTTATCAATCTACATAGTTTTGCTGTGAGTTGCAGAGTGTTGGAGATATAAGCTGTACAGATGTCTGCCTTTATTTTCAATATAGTTGAACCACATGACAACTGGTTTGTGTACAAAAAACTGTTTTGGAAAAGAATCACCCAGTTTCCCCAATATAATCCACAGACCTTGATGTGAGCTGTTTCATGTAGGAACTATTTTCTCTCTACCAAAAGATACCCGCCAACTGTAGAAGAAAGCGTGCATCTACTCAGCTAGCTAACATTACAGCTCAGCAGAGGACGCCCTAAATGTTAACTTACTTGTGCGGTGGTATGGAATATAGGTCCTGCTTCCCACATGTTTTCTGTTGAATACATATTATATATATAAAGTGATTAATTCTGGAAAAACACATTTAAGGATGAGTTCTTCAAATACATTGGGGCGCCACAGAGTGCCATCTAGTGCCATTATAATGAGAGAAGGAAGACTTCTCCACGGCCAATATCTCCAACACTAACACAACAACAATCCGGAACTGTTTTTAATATGTAAAATAAATTCTTAGCAACTCATATATTTGTTTTAATTATTATTTTTAGGTTGGTTACACCATTCGATTTGAGGACTGCACCAGTATTGAAACAGTGATCAAGTACATGACCCACGGCATGCTGCAGAGGGAGTGTCTGCTGGACCCAGACATGAGTCAGTATACCCTCATCATGCTGGATGAGGCCCATGAGAGAACAATCCACACTGATGTGCTCTTTGGTCTTCTCAAGAAGGTATTTTACATTCTACGAACCATGGATATTGAAAGAATAGCAAATCTATACCCACACAATAACTTCCCATGTCTCTTTCAGACCATAAAAAAGCGCAAAGAGCTGAAGCTTATTGTGTCCTCAGCCACACTGGACGCCGTGAAGTTCTCTCAGTATTTCTGTGAAGCGCCCATCTTCACCATCCCAGGAAGAACGTTCCCAGTGGAGGTTCTGTACTGCAAGGAGCCTGAGACGGACTACCTGGATGCCAGTCTCATCACTGTCATGCAGATCCACCTGACTGAACCTCCAGGTACGATCCTGTCACTAACTCTTTTCCTTACACGAACATGAATAAGCTTTAATGTTAATGTAACATTCCCTTCTGTTCTTTATCCAGGGGACCTCCTGGTGTTTCTGACGGGACAGGAGGAGATCGACACTGCTTGTGAGATCCTGTACGAGAGAATGAAGTCCCTGGGGCCGAATGTTCCTGAACTGATCATTCTGCCAGTTTATTCTGCGCTGCCCAGTGAGATGCAGACCAGGATCTTTGACCCCGCACCCCCCGGCAGCAGAAAGGTGATAATCTGTTCCGGATAAGAGTAAAGATGTGACTTGGGCAATTTATTGAGTGGAACTGATATTTTATAAGTAGGTTTCATTTTGTATTCAATTTAAAAGCAAAGAACACATCATATACCTGGAAGACTAAATTATTTCCTAACCTCGTACTTTCTTTACCACCAGGTCATCATTGCCACTAACATTGCAGAGACATCTCTTACTATCCATGGAATCTACTACGTGGTGGACCCTGGCTTTGTTAAACAGATCGTTTATAACTCAAAGACCGGCATCGACCAGCTTGTTGTGACTCCCATATCACAGGTTCATCCATTTTTACCTGAATTCTTATAAACTTGAAGTCAAAATTGTACATATGTCCTACTTGGTAACCTCAGTGTTCTTATCTTTTTCTAAAAACCTTAAATTGAGAATCATTTAATTGACGGCCATTTCTTTAAAACTAATTCCCTACACACTCTGGATCTGTTTCCAGGCGCAGGCCAAGCAGCGGTCCGGGCGGGCGGGCAGGACGGGTCCGGGGAAGTGTTACCGGCTCTACACTGAGAGGGCCTACAGAGACGAGATGCTGACCACCAACGTGCCGGAGATCCAGAGAACCAGCTTAGCCAGCACGGTGCTCTCTCTGAAGGTAATGCACTGAGATTAAAATAATAATATCTTCCTCTCTCCAACTGGATTTGTGATTTTGATAAAACAACATTAAACATTCTGTATGTAAATTATTGAATTATAAGTGTCTTATTGATGCTTTTGACTAGCTATAAACATTAGGCTGATGGATGGGGCTTACACATAATGCAGGGTCCTTCAACTTTTTAAATTAATAATGTATATTAAATATTCATATACAGTACATACACCCAGTGGTAGCTTCTTCAGGTGCACCTTTAAAATCTATTATAATACAACTTCCTAGTCTCAATAATATCAATGCTATTCCATACAGTATCACAAGCTATTATGTGTTAAACATTTATTAACTAATCTTAAAAATGTTTGCTTCATTAATTTTGTAAAAAAGTCATTTATGATGCACCAAATTCTCTAGAGCCCTCCTACTGTACTATAGATGTGGTCATCTATGTTGCCTGATTATTATTATTTTCTATTTAGACATACGATTATATTTCTATTTTGTTGTGTCCTTCTCTCTCCAGGCCATGGGCATCAACGACCTCCTGGCTTTTGACTTCATGGACGCTCCTCCCATGGAGACGCTGATCCTCGCCATGGAGCAGCTGTACACTCTGGGAGCGCTGGACGATGAAGGCTTACTCACACGGCTGGGAAGAAGGGTGAGGAGAATAGGAAAAATCTATTTCCTTTATCTTTTATAAGATAAAACCTTGAAATGGCAGTTATTTAATGATACAGATGTATTTACTTGTATGATTTGTGCAAGAAGTGCTCGTAAAGACTGAGTAAAATCTTACTTAACCAGGAGATCTCACTTTGTTTTCTACAAAAACTGCTCTTCAGAACTTAAAATAGTGAACTATGGTGTCCCCCAAGGCTCTGTGCTTGGCCCCATCCTTTTTTCCATCTACATGCTTCCTCTCGGTTTACTAATGAATAAATATCAATTAGGTTCCCATTTTTATGCAGATGATACTCAACTGTACATTTCTATTAAGCCGGACAACTCTTATCAACTGACCACAACTTGAAAATTGCATAAAATAAATCAAACTATGGATGTCATCAAACTTGCTCCAATTAAACACAGAAAAAACTGAAATGTTATTTCTTGGTCCACAACATATCAGGGACAAATTCTGTGACCTCAGCCTGAACATAGCTGGTTCAACCATCCACAAAGTCCGTTGATCAAAAATCTTGGAGTTGTATTCAATCTAGATCTGGAATTTAAAAAATCACATTACCAACATCACAAACACAGCTTTTTTCCACCTTCGGAACATTTCAAAGATTCGTCCAGTGCTTTCCCTAGCCGATGCTGAAACTTTAATCCATGCTTTTGTTTAATCTCGGTTGGACTACTGCAATTCACTTTTCTCCGGGCTACCAAAATCAACCACCGCCTAACTACAACTGGTTCAAAACACAGCTGCCAGAATATTAACCAGAACCAGAACATGTGATCATATCACCCCTGTTCTCATTTCATTGCATTGGCTACCGATTCACATAAGTTCTGACGTCAAGATTTTACTATTAACCTTTAAGATCTTACATGGACTAGCATGGACTAGCACCTCTGTATCTGTCATCATTAATTACCCCATTATCTACCAGGCTCCCACGATCACATAATGCAAGTCTCCTTTCCATCCCTAGAATTAAAAAAACATTCGTAGGTGGCAGAGCCTTTTCATTCCGAGCACCTCTCCTTTGGAATCGTCTTCCATTTCCGATCCGCAAAGCTATTTTCGTTGACTCCTTTAAAAGCAAACTCAAAACCCATCTCTTCGCATCTGTCTTCCTTGTAAACTAATTTCCATCAACTAGTTTCCGTTCAACATTACCATCACTTCAGTCACATGCTTTTATCACATGTTGATGTATAATGTTGTATAATGTTTTTATAATTGTTATGCTATGAAGTTTGTATTTTGTTTTTGTTTGCTTTGTCCTTTGAGACCTTTCTTGTGATTTGGGGCTATAATAAAGTTTGATTTGATTTGTTTTAATACCTAAGGTTTCATATGTTTGTCTACACATTTTGGTTTGATCTTCTGTTTACTTTGTTTACTGTCTGTATTTGTTTGACCAATGTCTCTGTGGTTCAGATGGCGGAGTTTCCTCTGGAGCCCATGCTGTGTAAGATGTTGATCATGTCCGTCCATCTGGGCTGCAGTGAAGAGATGCTCACCATCGTCTCCATGCTGTCTGTGCAGAACGTCTTCTACAGACCGAAGGTATGACTTTGGCTTAAATACAATCATTTTACCTGTCTCGGAAGGTTTCTTATGAAGGCCCTGGTTCTCATAAATAGTAAATGGATATTAAAATGTATTAGGGATGCTCCGATCGATACTCACTCTCTGCCGATCGATCGTTGCTCTCTAAAAATCGCATCACGTAAAATACATGACACTTTTCTCAGTGCGCGGCAAAACAAGCTCGCCAAAATGGCTTCACTGGTCTGGCAGTATTTTAAAGTGTCCGAAAATGACAATAAAATAGCGGTATGCAACGTGTGTGAAGCAGAAATCCTGCAGCTCCACCCGCTGTGACGGACTTAAACTGTAAACTTGAATAATGTACTTCATTTGAATGTAATAATTATGTTGGTTGTTGTTTGTGGAAGCGCCAGTGAATGAGCCCCATTAACCGAGTTTTAAACATCACTTTAGATGGAAGATCCCCATAGGCCCCGCCCACTCGATCGGATCGGCGATCGGTATCGGCCGATACTGATTCCGGCGATCGGCCCCAAAATTGGCGATCGGAGCATCCCTAATGTTTATCATGTATAACTTAGTGTATCTCTGTTTCATCCGTTAAAGGACAAGCAGGCCTTGGCTGACCAGAAGAAGGCAAAGTTTCACCAGCCTGAGGGAGACCACCTGACCCTGCTGGCTGTCTACAACTCCTGGAAGAACAACAAGTTCTCCAACCCCTGGTGTTATGAGAACTTCATCCAGGCTCGCTCCCTGCGCAGAGGCCAGGACATCCGCAAGCAGATGCTGGGTATCATGGACAGGTATGAAGTACTGGCAGAACCACTGTACATGCTAACACGTGAATCTTCAATATCATTAAAGGAACGTTTTGGGGTTTTCATGTCCAAAATTGGGACGAACAGACAGGAGTAATGTCAGGGAAGCCTGGCAATGTTCCACTGTAGACATGGGGGGGTAGCAGCACATGTATGCTCATAAAAAAAAATGATATCATTTAGGGTAGGCTATATTTAGAATGAATTTCTGATGTACCTTTGCAATGGGTAACCCAAGCTGTTATCTTGTCTCTCTTCAAAGGCACCAGAAACTGTTGACAATTGTAATTTTACCTTGCACATCAAAAGAGTTCCTGGCTATAGCTGATTATTCTGTATATGTTAATGTTTGACTTTGTTGAAACTTGTACTTACACTTTTTAAATACACCAAAGCCACACAATAACACAAAGTAAGCGATTTCAGTGGACCAATAACTCCTGTGTTCTGCAAGTAAAAACAACAGTTTTTGTCTGAGTAGTTTTGTGGCTTTGAAGAGGGCAAAAACATTGGCTTCTGTACCTTGTCAGAAAGGGCTGTATATAGCACCCCCTTTTATTTATTTAATACATTTTTTAGGTGGTTAATAGACATTTCTCTGCTGCCCCATCCGCATCAGTACATTACTTAGCTTTTTTGCTGGTACTCCTGTCTACTACCAGGGGCATATCCACTATCTGTAGTAAATATTACACTAACTAAGGATACAAATCTCAACTAAAAGAACAATCTAAACTGGATAAAAAAATATCTTGTTTCTCATGAACCTCCAACATGCTCTCCCCTCCTCAGACATAAACTGGACGTGGTATCTTGTGGTAAAGCCACAGTCCGAGTCCAGAAAGCCATCTGCAGTGGCTTCTTCAGGAACGCCGCCAAAAAGGATCCTCAGGAGGGTTACCGCACCCTTATAGACCAACAAGTTGTTTACATCCACCCCTCCAGTGCTCTGTTCAACCGCCAGCCTGAGTGGTAAGACAAAAAGATAATATCACCTTTTTGTATTAGTCACGATCACGAAAGAAAGAAATATTTTTTAAATGTATTTCCAAATGTGAAAACAGCCATGTGACGTCTTGCCTCTGTTACCCTCAGGGTTGTGTACCATGAGTTGGTGCTGACCACCAAGGAGTACATGCGGGAGGTGACCACCATCGACCCCCGCTGGCTGGTGGAGTTTTCTCCAGCCTTCTTCAAAGTGTCAGATCCCACGCGCCTCAGCAAGCAGAAGAAACAACAGCGCCTCGAGCCTCTGTACAACCGCTACGAGGAACCCAACGCCTGGAGAATCTCCCGAGCCTTTAGGCGCCGTTAGAGTGTGTGACGTCACAAACCCAGAACACAAATGTTTTTATGAAAAGGTCAGATGTGTCGACCAGTCCCTGGTGGTAGATGTTTTATCATCACTGCTTCAAGCTGTGTATTCACTCCTACTTTTAAATGCGTACACATTGTACATCTTCTCTCAGAAGGTCCTAGAATAACCTGCTTGGGTGGGGGTTTCATTATTTTAGGAAAGTTGGAGTTATTTACTTCTCTTAGCACTAATGCTGGAACTTAAAGAACATCCATATCTGTCCTGTTAGTAAGTGGTTTTAAAGTTCATCTTCTATGGGGAGATTCTGCAAAACAATGGACTATTTATTTTTGGCAGAGTAAATTGTTATCGCATAACGTCATGCCTTAATTCGACCTAAACGAATAGTAATAGAGACTTTTTGTTTCCATAGTAAATATTTTCCAGGCCAAAAGGATTGAACTGACTAAATGTTAGATAGATTTTGTACTTAACCTTGGACAATTGTGTCCCACTTGTCTGTATCTGAGGTGTTGCTTTGCTATACTTGCAACTGTAACTTGAAAATGTTTCCTCCATTAAAATGCAAACATTCTTTTCAACCCTACTATATTTTTTGTGAACTTTTACTCTAAATGGGGATATTTTATGATTCAAATATTGCCATGCATTACCAACTGAACTTATACATTTGTGCTTTTATAGAGGAAAAAGTGTCCGGATCGCTCTTAGGTCAAATTATAACCATATCAAAATTATTTAATACTGAAAAGGTGATTTAAATTTTTTTTAATCAACTAAAGCGTTGGGGAGTTTTATAAGCTAAACGCCAACAATATAGCTATATTTGAAGCATTCTTCGCAGCCATGTGGTCCCTGTTTGGGTTGTATATATTGATGCCCAAATGTATAAAATGCATTTTAATGTTGGTCGAAAGAGAATACGTTTCCTTTTCGTTTTTTTTAAGAGTTTCTGTTGCCTTCTAATTAGTAAGTGCGATATCAGCCTCTGATATTAGAGGGACATAAATACAGTAGCCTGCAATAGAAATACATGAGTAAAGTATGAAAACTCAAGTAGAGTGCAGTGGTGGAAGTACTCAGTGTTTATCACAATAGTATAAGCATCAAAGTATACTTAAGAGCACCACATTTCTCATTAAACTGAATGGCCCATTTCAGAATAATATATTATATAATTGGACCATAATTACTGATGCAAATGTGTAAACAACCCTATTAAATGTGTGAACTCTTTTAGATTTAATTTATTATACCGTTGTTTATATTTATTAACATAGAATAGAATCGGAGGGATGAAACCCTCTTTTAATGGTCACACATGCAGATCACACAGCACACACAGTGAAATGTGTACTCTGAATTTATTAACGCATCCTAGTACCAGGAGTCTAGTACTAGGAGCAGTGGGCAGCTATTGTACAGCGCCCGGGGAGCAATGGGAGTGGGGTCCGGGGGGGTTGTCCGGTGCCTTGCTCAAGGGCACCACGGCAGGGCCCAGGAGGTGGACTGGGACCTCTCCAAGTAGCAGTCCACACTCCATATTTAGGTCTGGTCGGGGACCCTACGGCTCACAGTCCAAGCCCCTACTGAGTGACCCACTGCATAATACATCTCAATATATAATCGTATATTATATTTATATTAAAAATCTGAATCTGTAAGGTCACTAGTAACTAATGAAATACATTTTGTGGAGTGGACGTATAAAAACTGAAACACTTGTGCAAATAAACATCAACAATCTACTCATACTGTTAACTGTGCGTGCTGTTAACGGCCTCGGCCGCTAGGAGGCAGCAACTGTCTTTTGAGCTCAAACTAAAGAAGAAGAACCACTTCCTGCTCAGGTCTGAAAACATGAAACATGGCTGCTTTAGACGAAATAAAACGTCTTGAGTATTTATCTTTGGTGTCAAAAGTGTGCACGGAGTTGGAGAATCATCTGGGAATATGCGAGAAAGACCTGGGTAACGTAAAGCTACACAACAGCATTGTTTTCTTGTTACAGAGCTAGCTCATAAGTTGCCATAGCGATTAGCGAATAAGAATCAGTTGTTGCTGCCCAAGTTAGCATCAAAGCTAAACAACAGTTTATGTTTTACAGCTGAATTTATCATCAACCTCGCCGAAAAACACACAACCTTTGAGGAATTTAAGACAGCTCTGTGTGAAAATGGAGCTGACTTTACTGTAAGTTTGCCGTTAAACACTTTTTTTTAGGGTTTGTAAATAATATGCTCTTACTAAACCCATTTTCTAATTTCAGGAAACCTTTATTGCCAATTTACTTCGACTTATTCAAACTATGCAGTCTTCACCATCTACAAGTAATGGTACAGACACTTTAATTTATTTTATGTATTCCTATTTCATGTTTAATAGCTATTAGTGTAATGTTAAACTCTTTCGTGTTTAACATCGTTATCTCTTCTCGTATGACTGAAGCTCATCAGCCAAGGGGTGAAAAGGACGAGTTGAAAGAGAAATATCCCGCTCTTTGTAAACCAGATGATCCTGTGTGGAGGGTATGGCTTCTTTAAAAAAAAAAAAATGATGTCTTCTAGCAAACATCTAATGTAAAATATAGCCGTTTTTCAGTTGGAAAATTGTAACTAAATGTTACTTCTTCATCAGATTCCACCCCGCAACACAGCTAGAGGCGATGAGCAGGTAGCAGCAGCCGCCATGAAGGAGCTGGAGATGCTCATGCCTAACTTCTGTGGAACAAGCTCTGATAATGGGTAATTTAATAAAGTGTTGTGCCATTTTGAAAATAATAAGCTCTCACTGACAAAACATTGAATTATCTCTTAGTAACCACAGCAAATTGTCAACGTTAAAGTAAACATTGTACTTCTCTTCCTCATTTGCTCCTCAGGTCAGACCAAAAGTTGCACAGTGACGGAGGTCAAAACACAGACAGACAAGTTGGTGGTCATCGCAGTCGTTCGCCTGACAGAGAAACAATCCCAAAACCAAAAAGGAAACGTCGATGGAGTGACAATCCTCCGAGCCCTCAGAAAGACGAAGGCAACAACAACCAGAAAGACTCTCGCTTGCGAGATACAGCTGTAGATCGGCCTCCACCAGAGGAGCCGGTTGTGGGCGACATCTACAACGGAAAAATCAGCAGTATTATGCAGTTTGGCTGCTTTGTGCAGCTAGAGGGCCTCAGGTCAGTCGATACATCTTTTTAATACAGCAATGGAAACCAATGCAACACCAATGTTTTTGGAACATAGAATATAGACTAGCAATTGTATAGTATTTTTAAAAATGATGTTCTTCTTCTACATTTTGTTTAGCTCTTCTTTAAATCTCAGTTTTGATTGCGTTTTCTTTGGATTATTCGCTATATTTGTATACCTTTCACCATATGGCACTTTAGTTGTCAAAACAGAAACATTAAGGTTATATTGTGTAACTGTGCAGGAAACGCTGGGAGGGCCTGGTGCACATCTCAGAGCTGCGCAAAGAAGGACGGATAGCCAATGTTGCTGATGTTGTTACCAAAGGCCAAAAGGTGAAGGCTAAAGTCCTGTCCTTCACTGGAACTAAAGCCAGCCTTAGCATGAAGGTGAGTCATGTGCAACATGGTAAGACACATCTATATTGTTGGTATGATGTGCTGTATGGAGAAATCCATTTACCAAAATGGAAATGGTGAGAAAATAATGTGTGAAGAGATGAAATCCTATCACTATGTCCTGTCTGTTCTTTTCCCCTACACTACTTTTTAGAGTAATATAATATTGTTTTTTCTTTAGACAAGTTAGTTTCTAAATGTGATCATAAATTATGCATTGTTCTCTTCTTTTAGACAATGTAATACAATCAAATGTTTAGTACAATGATTTATGGTTACTGAAATGTAGATTACACTTACATTTTTTGAAAGCTGCTAGTTCCGATGAGAAACTTAGTTTGCGAAACTAAAACATAAATGCATTTGCATACAATGCAATAATTGGTTTGGCCAGAAACATTTTAATAATGTTTGACATGTTGCCAGGATGTGGACCAGGGGACCGGGGAGGACCTGAACCCCAACCGGAGAAGAAACCTGGACCCTGTGGTCGGAGAGGAGGCCCTGAGGAACCCCGACCGCCCTGTGGAGGCCATCGTGCTGGACCTAGATGAAAACCCCATGGAACGCAAACGCCTCTCCAAGATAACTGACCTGGAGAAATGGGAAATTAAACAGGTATTCATTGAAAACATCTGCAACAGATTATTTCTTTCTTGGCTGTTTCTCTAAACATTCACTATAAAATGCTTTCCTCCCGTTTAGATGATTGCAGCCAACGTACTTCCTAAAGAAGAGTTCCCGGAATTTGATGAAGAGACGGGGATCCTTCCCAAAATAGATGAAGATGAAGGTAAAACTGAAGAACTTTTCCTCAAGGTTCTGTGAAAGGAGAGTTAGACGGCGTGATAATGTTTCCCTGCAATTATTCCCTCGACAAGATCAAGAGCTGGAGATTGATCTGGTGGATGACGAACCCCCCTTCCTGAGGGGACAGACGAAATGGAGCGCCAATATGAGCCCCGTGAGGATAGTAAAGGTATGTATTTTTCTATCCCACGGCAATTAAAGCACCAGATCATACACGTTATTATACCAGGCTCAGAATTGTGGGTTGAACTATTTTCCACAACATTTTCTCAGGTTACTTTATGGGGCGAACACATCGTATATTCTTGGTTTCTACTAGTGCCATTGTTGCTTTATTGTGTGTTTGGTGCAGTGCATCAACATCAATGTTCTAATCATTTACTAGACTGTAAGAACAAAATAATATAAATTTCACCCAGAAAAAATATACATGTTTGTGGCATTATTTAAACAATATGGCATTTGTGAAAGTGGAAAATAATATTGTGACACTCAATTCATTCCTATAAGAACACCAGAGTACAATTACTTTCATTGCCTGCAGAGGGTGCACTGAAACACATGCCTATCTGCACTGCAGTGCTAATCTACTGCTGCTGTCACTCTACTTGACTACATGTATCTTTGGTTTTACTCTGTAGTTGGATGATGCTGATGAGGATTTATTTTAAATAATAGATTAGATACCTACGAGTACATTTGGATTTGTATGTTGGTGCTTTAACATACGATGCAGTTTTAAAAGATTGTTGTATTAGTTTCTCTATCGCACCAACCTGTGTTTATTCTGTCCCTCAGAATCCCGACGGCTCCCTCTCACAGGCGGCCATGATGCAGAGTGCCCTGGCTAAGGAGAGGAGAGAGCTGAAGCAGTCGGCCCGCGCTGCAGAGCTGGACTCCATCCCCACCGGCCTGCACAAGAACTGGGTCGACCCGATGCCTGATTGTAAGCAATACGCATGTAATGATTCAGCAAACACCCTGGTTGCGTTCCGATAATCCAAAAATCAGCTCCTAAATTCTAACCCTATCTCCTATTCCTTGACCTCTGAGTGAAACGTCACGGGGTTAAGGGATAGTGGATAGGAGAATTCAAAAGGACTTAGGAGAAGAGACTGCGGTACTTTAGAATCCGAATGCACTTTCACTATCTGACGTGTTTATGATGCGCCAGCGGACGTCATTGTGTGCTTCTGCTGCTGTGGTGAAACTATGGAAACTACAGTGTTCTATAGCGGACTACAACATGGATGTTTAATAAGAAGGAGGGACTACTGTAAACTCATCTAGAGACTCGTGCCGTGCTCTGATGCTGTTGTTTTATGCTTTATGAACGTGGACAACAGAGAAACATATTCTTCATGACCAAAGTTGTAATTGAAATAAAAAAGGAAAGTGAAATTTATGCTCGTCACCCTCTCCCTCCGGTCCACATTAATACAAATGATCCCAATACTTATGATTGTATGAAAATATCTATAAACGTTAGTCCTTAACACCTATCACTGTGTATATCACCATTCAAACATCTTTTAAAAGTTGAACAAACCCCACACAGCTCAGTA